TAGTTGAACCATTGATAAATATTCAATGTTTGTCCATTGCATGCCATATTTTGAGTATACAACAGCTACTCTGAAAGACACAGTCACTGCCCACATGGACTGTGTGGTCTGCAATAGAGTCATGCCTTTTAGCACCCTAGTACTCAGGGCCACAGCAGACTAGAGAGTGGTGTTATGATGGTCTATGATGGTCTGTGGGTCGGGGGGGGGGGCTATACATGCCAGTAAATAAATCAGCCCTAAAATTACCACCATGGCAGTGAGGCCTGAAGGAAATGTATCAGTCAGGTAATCATAGATTTGGTCCTAAGAAATGGAGAACAAGAACAGTTATGGCTGGCTCAGGAAAAGGAGGAAGGAAAAGAGAGCAAGCATGTAGTACATGAAGGGTATTTAGAAAAGCTTGAGGTTGTTTGTTCTAATCTTTATACAATAGTAGAAGAATGTAACCAAAAGGTTTAAATATAGGGAAGTGATTTACTTCAAATTAAGAGCTTATGAAAATTGCTTTAAATGGGTCAGAAATGGTGGCACATGACTATAACTTCAGCACCCAGTAGTACAAGGCTGGAAGGTTGTAAGTTTGTGATCATCCTGGGAGACCCTGTCTCAAAACAAAATAAAAACTAAAAGAAGAATGATTTAGAGATAGACTATGAGGAATTAGCCCTGGATGTCCAGTGAGAGACAGCCCAGCCACCCTAATTTATTCTACATACAATCAAGAGCTTGCCCTTACCTGACACTCCTGTACATGTGTGTCAGAGTCAAGATCAAGGCGTGGATCTGTAAGGACGGCCAGTCACTAACCACTAGGCCCATTAGTCACCTGTTAGTCCTCTAGTGGCTAGACAAGCCACAGCAGCAAGTCACTGTTGTGTGGATACTGTGACTCCTTCAACAAGGGGAGCCCTAGACACACCCACAAGAAGGCTAAGTGCCTGGGCTACTTTGTTCCTGACTGAAGAGTGCAGGTTGACAAAGCAGGGTCCTCTCCCAGTGAGCCAAGTGAATACAGAGGCTATAGGCAGTGTGGACCTGGCTCCAGTGAAGCCGCTACACAACCGATCCTCTCACTGCACACACAAGGTCGGAGGGGAAAACACCTCTCCCTAAAGCTAACGTTGGCAACAGGTGTACAATGGTACAAACAGACTAAAAACATTTCAATTGCATTCTTTAAATGGGGGAATCATAGGTATGAGATAATGAAACAGCTCAGTAAAGCTCGTACAAACCACCCATCCTCAAAGACCAGAAGATTAATGGAGGAGTCAGCAAGTATTGAATACTGAAATGTTCTAAGGGGATAGATAAGTCAGTAATTCGCTTAAGATGGACAGAAAAAAATTAAATCTACAAAGGTCACATATTTCCATAAATTACTCCATCAAAAATCTTAATCTTAGCAACAATAAAAATAAACAAACATTGATTGTCAAGAGAAGCCTTTGCTGAAAATTTTCAGTGGAAGAGCTACAAAATGTCTCGATTTCTTCTCATGCACCTGCACTTATGAGAGGAGTTATGCCCACAGACTCTAAGGTTCCAGACACTTAATAAACTGTGGAACCTAATGGCCAAGCACAGCTGCTTTGCAGTTGGCCTCCATCATTCCTCTCAGAGTAAGCAATGTAAGGGATAGTGGCAGCCAACAGAGAGCTGTGGCTTTAATGGGCCATGGTTCCATTGAATCAACATTTATTTCCTTGAGACAGCAAAGGAGATGAAGGCCGATGCTATTTAAAAAGTCAGGGCTTAAAGGCAATTCCAGGCACACAGGAGGAGGAGGTGAGGGCAACACCTTAGACTCCTCAATAGTAGCACAAATAGATTATGGATAATGGTGGGCACAGGTTTCACAGGCTTTACGACGAGACTATCACAAACCCTGTAGGAGCTATTCAGGAAAGGTGAACCGATGACAGACATTCTCTAAGGAAATACAAATGTGCTGTTATATAGTGGTAGCTCCCTAGAAAGCTCAAATTTAAATTTTAGTAGTAAGACAAGTAGAAATAAAAGTATGAATGAGCCTAAAAACACATCTATGAAGGATGCAGCTAACAGACTCAAAATGTCAGAGACAAGCATTGTGTGGTTTATGCTCAATGCAAGGGCAAGAAGTGGGGAGGGCGGGATTGCAGTGTCTACAGGTCAAAGGTGGGAAAAGCCCAGTTTAAGATGAAGTACGCTCTCACTCCTGCCAGTGTAGGAGATGGGCTTAGAAGAGTCAGGGTAAACAACACATGAGGATGGAGTGGAGCTCTCAAAGAAGGAAGAGTCTCAATGATTTCCAATGCTCCCAACTCAGACGACTACTGGAGAATAAGCACGCCCTCCCCTTTTCTCATTTAGCACCCTCAGAGGGGACAAGGAAAGTTACTTTCATACTGATGAGAACCTGAAGTTCTCTGGGTAAGTTTTATTGCCCAGGTTTACCAGCGATGGGTGGGCTTGCAGCCTGAGCCAAATGTATCAATCAGACACCCAAATGAACAGGCATAAGCAGGCAGGTCCACCAGCAACAGCAGCAGAGGAAAGAGACCTTCAAAAAGCACCAAAATTCAAAAGGGGCTTATTGAGTATCTCAGACTGAACCAAGCAAAGGCGCATCCTGGGGCTGAGTCAGAGAGACATGGCGCCTCTCTGTGGAGCTCAGTCCCGTGAGGGCTGCTGTTAGAAAAGAAGGACATGTGGGGACCTGAAAACAGGAATAAAGTTGTCATTTCTTCTGAGTCTCCACTAACTCAGTGTTTCAAAATTCTGGAAAAATTAACAAACCACTACCACTTATTCTCATTTATTCTCAAATATTTATTCTAATTTGCTCAAATACACATGCTAATAAGACTTCTTACTAAATATGCAAAATCCACTACCAACCCGAATTTTCGCCCCCTAAGACACTATGACTACAGACTCCACCTACTTCTGTCATAGGACAGGGAGAAAGCAAGCTGGTACTGACCCGGAAGCCTTATCCCTACTGGCTAGTTCTCATATTTTGGAAGGGTCTATGCTTGCTCCAAAGGGAGAATAATCAGCAGTTTTATCCAGCTGTGAACTCCGGCAGCAACAGTAACAGCTGGCCTCGTGAGTTATCCCCTAGAGCAATAGTGGCATGGATGCTGTGGGAGCAAACAGGAACCCCACAATATAAAACTCATAACTAGTACCATTACCTGGTTCCAAAACCCCTGGCTGACTAAGTCATAGGCGCTAACAAAGAATATAACACTCATATTCTGCTGGATTGCTCTTAAATCTTATCTTTATACCCGCTAAAAGGTGTATCTATCTGTCAGTCCTCACCAGAGAAGCTTCTTTTTGCAGTAGGTGGCAACTAATACAGATACCCACACGTGGTCAGTGTGCAGAGAATATGAGACTGTGTGGGGCTCAGCTCCAAATGGGACATCTATAAATGGGAAGAGCTCATGAAGTCCCACTCCTAGCAGAGGAACTATTGGCAATTGATGGCTACTGGGGGAGGGAAAGGTCAGTTTTCTTCAGGGATACGGTCTTGGAAAGGCTATCCACGCTCCGGTAGACGGTTCTACATCCACGCACCTATAGGCAGCACTATGTGAACTCAATGGGTTTAAAGGCAGAGCACCTGAAGTTAGCGGGGGAAAGTTCTGGAAGTGACTAGGGGAGCAATTGGAGGAACAGGAGTGATAGGTGGCTTTGATTTAAAAAAAAAATTATAATGCACATTAAGTTAAAATGTATTAGGTAACATTATAGCTGTAACATTTAAAATCAAAATTCACATGAAATTGTTTTATTCTACTACTTTCTCTTAAAAGCCTCTTTAAAAGGCACTGGAACAGCATGCATGGAAGCTCTACAAAGCCAATGTGGCTTAATCTGAAGATGAACAAGTTATGGAGCATAGGATTCTAAGAATCTCAGAAATTATTCAAAATTAAAAGTTCTTTGGTAAAAATAAAAGAAAATAATCAAGAAAGAAACCACTACCACCTACTCTCAAGGAAGCATAGGATATTTATTCTAAGTGCTGGCTGTTGTAATTTGATCAGAACACGTGTTAACAAAATACAATCTTGCTGAATATGAAGTGCATCACCAACAGCGAATTCCGCTGAGATGCTATGAACATTGTCTGTTATACAGACTAATCAAGGAGGACTGCAGACGGAGGGTAAAGCTCCAGAACAGGAGGCTACTTCATTAATTCCAATCCAGTTCGTGCCTCAAGGACATCCTCTGTTTAGAAGCAAGAATAGTCACCGTACAATTCATGGCAGAAAGCCGAGATATGGCGCTCTTCTCCTTTGTGAATCTTAACCTAGGTCTCTTTACTCCTCCCACCCTCCATTCTCCCAGTCTTCCCAACAGCGGAGAGCTGCTCACAAAGCCAACAGAGCACACCGACTCCCTCAACCCCCCATGCCCTCTCTCTAGACCAAGGGAAGCTCACTCAATGCCTCTAGAACCTAAGGAGGCTGTAGCAATGAGCAAAATGGCAGGTAACGTAACATGTATATAAACACATGTGTTTCGTGAGCAGTAAAATTATGTGAAGCCAGGGAGGAGGCTGAAGGGAGTTAGTAGTAGTTAGTTCCTGTGATTGCTACCAAGTGCGATGTTACAAAATTAAAAAATAAAGGTAAGTTCGATTTTTTATGTATACTTCTGAATATGTCAAAATAAGTTTGCTTTAAGAACACCGTCTGGGACAAAGGAGTGACCAGCTCCCTTGTCTTTGTTAAGGCATCGCTACTAGTTTGGGCACTAAATTCTGTGGGTTTGTTTTCATCACCTGGGAGAAAAAGAAGTAAGGCAGGGGGTTCAGTCATACCTTCACCACACAGAGAATTCTCTCTTCTGCAGGTCAGCTCTGTGGACTCGCAGCCTAGTGCCGTGCCAGATACAGCTGCTCTCTTATGATCGCAAAATACTACCCTGCCCAGGACTGCACAAGACAAGCTTCATTGCTTTCCCACAGCAATGCCATTGGAGTGGCTGCTTACCCGTTTGTCAATGTCATTGTGTTGAAGTTGCACAAAGCGTGCACTGATGGCTGCAATGTAACTCTGCTGATTGGAGAACGCAACACGCCCAGCACCTTTGGGGTACTTCAGCTCTGGATCTGTGTCAATGCCAGCATAGCAAACACCACCATACAAACGGTCCATTATCATTGCCAGTTCAACTGTAAGAAAATAAACATGTCTACGTATAACTATTTGGAACAACTCACCCAGGAAAAGGAAGATCATGCAGTCTAATCATGAAAAGAAAAACCATATGAGAGCTTATGAAGAACATCCACAGTCTTGCAACTCCAGTAGAGGAGCTACTCTGGATATTTCAAAAGAAAATACAAAACAGTTTACACATGTATACACAGGGGTATGCGGGCATGACTCAAGAGCACTGTATCAGCAATCTGTTTAAGTGAACAACCTAGCCGTACTGGCCTGGGCCTGGGTAGGTAAAGCAATTCATGGTGACCTAACAAGTTATGGAGAAATGTCTACTTACAGAGCTTGAGACTGAATGAAACTTCAGTGCCTCACTGCCTATTAGAGCTCAACTGGAATCAAGTCCTTATTCTACCTAGAGCTGATCGATGTATCTACAGATATAATAAAGTTTACAAATACAAATCCTGTACTGACAAAAAAGGATAATGAAGAGTAGATTCTATTCCAACTGAGAAACCTTCATGGCATCTCAAATAGAATTTTCAGTAATACTAGTTAATAGTAACAGCAATGAATAGCCAGGCAGCTGTTTCCAAGCTGTATAAATGCGCACCCTGCATCTTGCTAGAGGTCTAAGCTAATGGTCTGCTCTGCAGTGCTTGCCAAGTTTCCTGCCTTGATTTGGAATATTTACAAATGCTTATAGTGAAGTTTGGGGATCGGACCATTCCAAGGGTCTGATATTAAAAACGTATGCCCACCATCGGTCAGGGTACCCTCGAGAGACATGTGGCACTTACCTGTGCTGCCAATTGCCTGAAGGTAATTGTTTACTTGAAAGCACCATCTCCGCCTATGGCCATTCCTTTCAGGCCACCGCTAAGTCCAAAGACTCAGGCCTACCCCTCGGAAGTGACCTAAACACCCATTTTCTTTCAAAACCTACATTTGGCATTTAGAAAGAAGAAAACAGGGAAAACAGACAGCAACCAGAGCCAATGCAACAAACACCACCACACTCTGGTGGGGACAGGCAAGGGTTCTGCAGGGCTCAATGGTGTGTTAGGATACCCCTGAGTTCCACAGATAGATGTAAAGCCAAGTATTACTCATTCTGGCACAGTGAAGTTGCAAAGGCAATAAGAAAAACTGGCACCACGTCAGAAAGGCTATTTTTGTACTTCAAGTTTCTTTTTATACTAGACTGCCTAATATTGATTCTTTTCTAAATGCTCACTTTTTTAAAAAAAAAAAAAAAAAAAGGAAGGACGACCTATAACAAAGCAGTGAGTTTCAAGTGAGGAAATAAACTAGCCATAACTAGCCCGAGAGAAAGGGCGATGAAGACCAAGAAAGCCATCCCAAATGTCCCAAACGGTCAGGATCATTGAGTTCCAATAACCAGCAGCACTAATAATTAAAAAGCTAAGTGGACCGTGCTGCAGTCTCCGGCAGCAACTTGAATATCATCACTTGCACAGCGCAATGAGATCTGCACCTGGACCCTGAATGTCAGGTCAGTGGTTCCTCCCACTGCAACCTTTGATGGCCTAAGCTTCTCCTCACATGGACAATGCTATTCTCAACAGAAAGCAGGGAACTCAAGGGAGGACTGGAAAACATAGCCATTCATGAATTTCTTTTAGTAAGATAAGAAATCTCAAGGCCCAGGAAACTAGACACTAATTTTCCAAAGACCCGGTTTGCCCTAGAATGGAAAAGAAAGAAAACACTCCCGAGGCCTGGTGAGTGGCCAGGAAAAGAATGCTGGCAAGAAACCAAGTGGCATTGTCTTCCATAATAAGGACTCAAAAAGGTATCTCAATTACAAAGGAAGAGAGTAGTTGAAAGCTGGGAGCTCTAGAGTGCTTCCATTGCTGCCCTATACCACAGCAGTCTCCAAAGGAGTTTCAGGGATCCCCTCATTCCAGAAGTCTTTTTACATAAGCAAAAACATTCCATTACTTTGTGAATCTCTCACTGGGCCAAAGACTAGATCATGACTGACATTACTGGCAGTTAATCACGTCTGCTAAAAGCAGGAACTCCCATCCAAGTATGTGTTTATGAAAATCATATAATTTTCCTTCATGAGCTACATAGTCATTTTTTGCATGTATGTACAGTGTGCATGTTCATTAGTATAGGAAATGCACATGTATGTTTATGTGTGTGTGGAAGACAGAGGTCACAGGTGTGGTTTCTCAAGAGCTTGGTTTTAATACAGGGTCTTGCTGAGCCCTCAAGCTTGCCTGCTAGGCAAGGCTGGCTGGCCAGTGAGCCCCAAAGATCCTCCAGCCTCTGCCTTCTCAGCACTGGGAACCTAAGTATCCACTACATTGCCTGAGCTTGCTTACGTGGGTTAGGACTGAGTTTTCTCCCCAGTCCTATAGTATTTTCTTGGACATCAAAACGTTTCCAGACATTTGAGCAATAATGTTTTACCCAAGTAAAAGGCAATTTGTTAAAAGGCTAGGAGAAACCAAAGTGGCTAAAGGAAGAATTTTTTCAAGAAAACTGACAAATTTTCATCTAATTCACAGCTTGGGGGGGTATTTATTTATTTTTTTGTCTCATGTAGCCCAGACTGGCTACTCTGTGTAGCTAAAGATGACCTTGAATTCCTTATCCTGCCTCTACCTCTTAAGACCTGGAATCACAGGCTTGTGCCACCACAGCTGGCTTCAGTGGCACTGAGGATTGGACTCGGGGCCTTGTGCATACTAGGCAAGTATTTTACCAACCGAGCCACACCTCAGTCTCCTGAATCTATATTTTAAGTCTACGTTATGATCACCTTTGGAGAAAAAAATCAAAAGCGATCGATCAAACAACTGTCTACAGTTGACCATTTCCTCAAGCCTAAGTCTTCCTATGGTACTCTTCCTGAACTCATTCTATGTTAAAACACTAGGAGAGTCCCCTTAAATACCAACCAGAGTTTCCAATATCGAGAAAAGAAGTCACTTTTCATAAGTAACCCTTTTTCAATACTTTTAATGCTATAAAGACAGCAGTAGAAACAAACTTCGTCCATCCGTTACTAGATGATGGGCAACTAAGGGAAGCAGGGAAAAATCAAGACTGAGAATCTGAAGAATCTGAGAGCTCCCCAGTTTTTAGTATTTGTTTTTATTTGTGTGTGTTCGGGTGCCTGCAGAGGCTGGAAGAAGGGGCTGGAACCCTTGGATCTAAAGTTAATAAGCATTCGTGAACCACCCAATGTGGGCGCTGGGATTTGAACTCCGGTTCTCATGAACATCACGTGCTCTTAACTGCTGAACCATCTCACAGCACCAAGTTTTTCTATTTTTTAAATAGAAGATGTAAGTTTACTGGCAAATGTTGCGATACACAGCTACCTTTAGAGACCAGGTTTAGAACTCTCTAAAGTGAACACAACGATGTCTTGTGCATGCCCCTTCTTCTGATGGGAGGAAAGCAGGAATGAAAGAAACGGGCTATCATTTAGACTTCCTAGAAGGGAGAGAGAAAATCAAGACAGCCAGTACTTGTCTGGACAGATAAATCTTCATGGATTCATCTATCTCTGCAGACATGAATCCATGGTCTTGCTGTGAAATCTGAGTCCTAATCAAGTCTATGTCCTATTGAATAAGCCAGCCTATGATGACAGTGAACCTCAGTCTAAACCTCTCTCTGTAGAGAATGGGAAGGGGAACTCCATGGAGCACAGTAAGAAACTTAACCCAAGGAAGACAGGGGTTCGAGGACCAGGCACACAGAAGAGGAATTTGGAGTCCACATGGAGTTCATGCAGGCAACAAAGAAGAGTCTACAGGACGTGCCTCAAAACCACTTCTGGTCACTCCCAGTGTCCTCGGGTCTGTCTAGTCAGCACAGAAGTAAGAAGCTGGCAGGAGTCGGAGCTCTGTGAGGGCATGCTGCAGTTTAGACTGTGTGCTCTGCACTCCTAAACCAAATCACTTCATGATGGGCTTCCACAGTAGCAGCAAAGCCTCCTCTGAGTCCTGTTCCCTTGCCGGCTCCTGTGTGGGAGCTCCACAGAGTCTCACAGCAGAGAGGGAGCAAGAAGAAGGCAGCCTTGGGAGCATACAGCATTTCATGTATTCTGTCTTGTGCTGACTACACCTCTGAAGCTGAAGCTGAACCCCATTATGGTTTCTTGGACCTGCTCCTGATTCTTCAGCTGTGAAAAGGACTTCAGTTCAGAGAGAAAATCTTGATTTCCCCATTCTACTCCTCTTGTTTAATTACTGGCTTGTTTAAAGCCAGCCTGAAGGCAATGTCTAAGTCTGGGACACTGGGAGACAAGTAAGGAGGCAGAGGAATGAGGATTTCGAAGAGAAATATCACCACATTCATCTTTATAGATTCTAAATTGAGATCTACAAGTCCTATTTCTTCTCTTTGGAAACAAACGAAAAGTGACAGGAAAAGCAGGAGGCCCCTCGGACGGCGAGGGCAGGTGGACTTTCTAGGTCTCCCACCTCCCACAATTGTTAAGCTGGCTCACAAGGGTTCAAAAGGAGGCTGCACACACTTCCATTCTGTGTCAGATGAGGCTTAGGACATTTTTAAATGATGGCACGGAACACTAAGTCAGAAGGGGAGCATTTATTTAAGTTCATTAAATCAAACTGCTACCAAGTTGCTCTTTTACTGAGACAATATCCTAGGTCTCCACTGGACAAAACAGCTTCCATCGATACACAGAGCCTAGAGCTGAACCACGGAGACTGGGGACTTGTTGCTGTTTTCACTTACTGCCTCCTCACGGAAAACACAAAGTCTTCTGCGGACAACCTCACAAGGTTAGCATAAAGACTAAGCATGAGTGAGCAGCTCTAAGCACACTGCTGAGTACACAGTGGCACTTGACTGTTCAGGGTTTTTTCTTCCTGCTCATAAATCTTTGCTTTAAATTAAGCTGGCTTGGGTGCTGCTCTATAAACATTAATTCATCCCAGCCTAACTATGGCTTTATGCTGGCTCAGTCTGTCATGGATATGACAATGTTTGACAACACCTATGGGCAAAGGTTCGTCTGGGAGGAAGAGGGTGGAACACACATTAAACATTATAAAGTCCTTTTCCCTACAAGCATGTCAAACCTGGTGTTTACTTGGGTCACCTCATCGTGAACGTTGGGACTGGATGAGAAAGTGTCTGCTGCTGAGAAACGACACACCGTCACTTTGGCTGTCTACCATCTCACAGAACAGAAAGGGATATGGTTCCAAGACCATTTCCTAACTGCAAATGAGGGTGTGACCCCCAGTTCATATGCACTATCAGAATATTTGGACAAAATGCCTGGAATAATGATCCTGAGAAGTCGTGAGATATATATTCTCTCCATATGGTATATATCATTCAGAAGTCTACCTCCCAGGGCTGGACTTGAAGCTCAACGATAAATAACATGCTTGGCATGCATCGTGCCATGGATTAAATTTCTTACACCATAATGGATTTTTACCTTGACGTAAAAGCCATCATAGAGCAACAGGGGTGGGGAGCAGGAAGAGAATGAAACTTCAGGATTAATGGGGAGAAAAAGAAAGACTTAGCAGAGCAATGGTTAAGAAAAATCAAAGACCCAACAACAGAGAAACAATGACTCTAGGAGCTCAAGACCTCAGTCTCTCAAGGTGAAGCTGCTCTGAAAGGCCTGGTCTGAGCAAATGTTGGAAGGAAGTCGTCAAATGAAGAGTGTGGGTCTAAAGTCTATTGATTTGGGAAGAAGAGATTCCAAAACTTAGGCACAACCAAGACACCCAAATCAAGAAGATGGAGTGGAAGGAACACTCAAGCAAAGGAAGTAGAGAGCACTGCGAAACCAGGCATTCCAGTCTCTTCTCGGTCTCCTCATAGCCCCTGCCTGACACTGATTTATTGTCAGAGGGAAGAAGGGTGCATCTTGGAGAGGTCCCAGCGCCACAGGGATACATAGAAGGGCTTCTGTGTGGGGATTCGGAATACTATGTTGCTCGTTACCACTTGGAAAAAGGTCAGCATGCGATTGTCTCAGTAACTCACAGAGAAGCAGATAAACGGCCTAGTTCTTCAGTGGGTCTCAAAGGAATGTGCAGACTTTAGCCACATGGGGGCAGGGTGAGTCTACTTACAGTGTCGTCCCCCCAAGGGAAATGGGGTGCTCTGAGAAACACCAGATTTAGGACAGACCATCCTTAGCTTGCTGCTGTTAATCACAGGAAATCACAGGATGGAAAAGGGGACCAGAGACAGACAGCAATGTGCGTTACCCGACCTCGACCCACAACTCATCGGGTTCCACTTTTCACTAGATCCCCTGACTTCTTTCTCCTCACCCTCAAGTTAATTTCTCTAGGCCCATGATTTCCCCTGCCAGCCTGAATTTTAAAAAGGAGCTTTGATCTGGGTATGTTGGGTCATGTCTGGCAGGAGGATTATGAGTCTGATGACAGTTTGGGTTCCATAGTGAGACCCTGTCTCAAAAAACAAAAAGTTTTGTCAAAGCGTAAAAATATTTAATTCAATAGACACTATAAGCTCAGTTAGGATGATACTTGCTTCTTTCAAGATATTTCTATTCAGATGGATAAGGGCTACATTTAGAATAAATATTATGATAGTCCCTATCTTACAATGTCAAAAGTAAAACAAAACAAAACAAAACCCTCAAAAGATTTATAGGAATAACATAGATGGTAACATTCCAGTCTTCCAATCACAACAGTTTTGGCCAAGATAAAGGGAAAGAAAAAAAAATATTTCCTAAAACCCAAAGCTTTACCTACTAAGTGAGGCCCAAGGAAGACCCTGCACTGAGACACCTGATAAAGAAAGCCAGTCTTCAGCTGGAGCCATCGCTCAGTAGTTAAGAGCATTTGCTGCTTTTGCAGGCCCCAGGTTTGCTTTCCCAGCACCCACGTCATATGGCTCACAAGCACCTGTAAGTCCAGTTCTGGGAATCCAAAGTTCCCTGTCTTCCACAGACATCAGCCAGCACGTGATACACATGAACTCTTGCAGGCATACAGAAATTTAAAAATATTTTGAAAAATGCTCTGTAATATTTCAAGAGCAAAATACAGAATCATGTTAAAGAATATAATTTAAGCTGGGCGATGGTGGTGCATGCCTTTAATCCCAGCACTCGGGAGGCAGAGGTGGACCTCTGTGAGTTTGAGACCAGCCTGGTCTACAGAGCTAGTTCCAGGACAGGTTCCAAAGCCACAGAGAAACCCTATCTTGGAAAAACAAAAACAAAAAACAAACAAACAAAAATAATATAATTTAGTCTTCAACTATCAATACATTCCTTGTGTCCTGTTCTGAAGCTTTGGTTCTCTATAGAAAATGATCTGTTTAACAGGATGGTGAGATGTTCACTCAGCTCAGTGCGGCATGCCCTTGCTGATTTATTTAATAATGGGCTTCCTAGACACTAGGCACCAGCTGCATTCTAGAAATGCTGGCAACTGGGCTGGAAGTAACATGGCAAGTAGACCAGTAGACCTGAAGTAAGTAGACCTTACTAAGCCTCTACTACATATGTGCCAAAACAAACCAATTTTAAGACAAAAACAGCTAACTTAAAAAAAACCCAAGACATATTAGGTATATTCTCTAAATAGAACACATATCCTATTTCTGATTAGATAACTGAATATACTTTTTAAAAATACTTATTTTTATTTTTTTTTTTGGCATTTTGAGACAAGAATCTTATGTACTGAAGGGATGCCTTGAACTCGTTAAGCAGCTACGAATAACACTGAACTCTTGATGCACCTGCCTTCTTCTTCCAAGTACAGGGACGACAGCTGTGTGCCCAATGCCCAGCTTTATAACCTAGTATCATTTTTGTCTGATTCTAGAACTTGCAGCATCTTGCTGAAGCTCAACATTGAGTTCAATGTAGCTTATTAACTACAGTTCCTCTGACTTAAAATCAAGACCTGACAAGTTAAAATCAGTTGTGGTTGTGGGCACTGTGTGGTTCTGCCTGACCTGAAACTATGTAGACAAGTTGACCTGGAACTCAAGAGATCCACCTTTCTCTGCCTGGGCTTGCAGGTGTATGCCACTATATCCAGCTTTAGGACTTGTAAAGGTTCTTCATATGGAAAAGTAAAGGGCCAGGGTCAAATCTTAAAACAGCTTCCATTGTATTGTGCAGTTAGTTGCAAGGTATAGCAGTGATTATCCAGCTGTAGAATTTGTGTGCAGTGAAACTCTCAGTGAGGTTCTTCTTCTCCAGCCTTGCACATCGACAGTCAGAAGAGTCATGCGTGTTCTACAGCACCCCCTCACATTGCCTGTTCCTAAACACACATATAACTGAGGACCAAAATGCTGCAGCTGCTCTTGTCTTGAGTTGTTCCCAATGAGTTGGCCCTTCCTGGATTTTATCAAGTGATTTCTTTTGGCTCAGTTTTTCATTAGAGAACCCAGAGAGCTCTGATTTTTAGACATAGTATAAAATTAACATAATCACAATATTTTTTAAAGTTCTTTAAAACAGAATTATGATCATATCCCATTTGTTTTTTGAGACAGGGGCTCCCTAAGTAAGTTAGCCCAAAACTCAAGACCCCTTCTGCTTCAACCTCTCCGTGCTAGAGTTACAAGTTACAAGCCATTAACTTCTTCTAGAGTTCTAAAGGGCTTGTGTGGTTGGGGTGTGTGTGTGTGTAGACTGTGCGTGTGCGTGCATGTGTAGTGTATGTGTATGTCTCTGTGTGTGTGTCTGTGTGTGTGTGTAGACTGGAGTAAGAATTCAAATTATGTTGAGATTTCTACATAGTCCAGCCTGGCCTTGTCTTATTCAGTAAGTAGCTCAGGTAAAACTCAGACTTGAAATCATCATGTGTCAGCCTCTGGAGTGCTCAGCTTACAGGCGAGTGTCACTGCTCCTGGCTTGTCTCCGGGTTTACACGTAGAGGCATCAGTTCAACGCCACTTCAAGTCTCTAGTTCATTATGACTCGGTTTACCCTCGGCTGCATGAATGTTTCATCCTTGGAAACAAATTAAAACAACAGCAACAACAAACAACAGCAACAACGGAGGTAGGCCAGGTGTGGGCCTGCAGTCTCAGCTACTTGACAGGCTGAGGCAGGAGGAGTCTAAGGCCTGCTTGGTCTACACAGTGAGTCCCAGGCCAGTCTGGCAACTTTGGGAGACTGTCTCAAAATAACAGTAGAAAGCAAGTGAGGAGGATATGAGTGCTTGGTCTAGAACGTGTGAGGTCCTGGGTTAAAGGCCCAGTACCACACCAAAAAACCACTACACAGAATGGGGAAGTTTTGATAAAGTCATAATTTTAAAAATGCCTCAATATGTCATTTCTGGAAATTTTTATTTCTGGAAATCATTAAAACTAATTAGATCCTGCCTTGCTGGGGGAGGCCCAGGGGTCTAGTATAATTCCCAGGTATAATTCCCAGCAGTAGTTTGACTTCTCAATGGCCGAGCTCCCCGTGCGCTGGACAGATCTCTGATGATAACTGCAACACCAACTTGCATGAGCATGCACACTGCCAGATATTATTATTTTAATGTGCAGGTAAATAGGAAAGAACTGAATAGAGCTCATCCTTTCCACAAAACGGTTTAGTGAAATGGACTCTTGCATCAAAAGGATATACAGCATTTTGGGGAAAATTCTTAACCATAGAAAAGTCAGCTCAGTGAAACCGACATGGCAGACTTCCTTTCAGAGGCTGTGCCCGTCTGACTGGAGACCCAGACAGAGAGAACACATTGGGTTTTGTTGTCATCCCTTTTGTTGTGGCATTACTATTTCCACTCACCAGCTCGAAGGGGTCGTGGAACTCCCCCAACAAAGATAGTTTTTCTGGGGTCCAAAGGCTGAGAACCATCCATTACAAAGTCACTGTCACTTAGGTTCCACGGTCGAATTTGCACCTGAAAAAAAGTTGTTTACTTGGTCCTTACTTCATTTCCATCAACCCCAAATGAGAATAAGATGACTCAGATAAACCCAACGTTTGTGCATTTTATGACATCCAAGTCCCAAACGAAATCAGGTTAATTACTAAACCCGATCTGCATCAGGTGCCTCTCGGTCTTGGGGAGGCTAACTCAACACTTAAGACACTATGCACAAACCACCTGTGTCATTAAAAGGCAGCCTCTGACAAATCCTGGGTTTTGAATCCAGTTCATTTAAACACAGCACACACTGTAGGAAACCTGTCACAGTACACCATTTAGTTTTTTGTAATGAATCCATCTACAAGGAACAGAAAATTAAGAATATTTTCTAAGAATTACCTATTTGCCTGGATTTCGAATTTTCATCACCGCCCCAAGTTAAAATATTTTCCTTTCAAACTCTATGACATAACACAGGTTAACACTCAAGTTAGCCACCAATCACAGAGATCCCAAGTACTGACACTTAGAGAAGTGTCTAATTAGTAAACTGATTTTCCTACACAAGGTTGATAAGACAAAGGCAAATTTAGTGTGTGTGTGTGCATGCAAGAGAGAAAGACAGAGATATACAGGGAAAGGCAGAGAGACAGACAAGGGGCTGGGTGGGGCAGGGGAAAGAGAGCCATGCTTGTTGCCCGAGTTGGTTCTCTTCCTTTATTACGTCAGTTCTAGGATTTGAACTGAGGTCAGTAGGTATGGTAGTGAGCACCTTTAACTGCTGTGCTATTCCACCAGTCCATAAGACTTCAAGGAATATAAAAAGAAACCTTTACAACTTACTTTGGTTCTAAACTTCCTAACAATTTTCTTCTTAGAGGATGCATGTTTGTGTGTGCGGTGTTTGTGTGTATATGCATAGGCATACATGCCGAATGAGCAGACGTCAGAGAACAATGTCTACAGTCAGTTCTCTCCTGAGGATCCCACAGACCATCAGGCAGTGGCACTGTCAGGCAGCAAACAACTTTACCTACTGCGCCACCTTATCGCCTGCCTACATTTTTTAAAATTTGGATTCTTAATTTTATGCCCATGGTTTGTACTATTTTATCATACACTAAAAAATTAAATACCTTATCAGTTTACCCCTAAAACAAATTCCTTTTAATCACAACAGGATTACAAATAATAGCTTAAAAACAAATGGACAAATCAAAAGCAAGGCTACTGTTTCCACCCTAAAAGCTAAGGGTGACACTCTGCTCCCCCAAAGCAACCAGTCTGGCAAGAGGGTGGCCACCGAGAACCAGCTGGGAAATGGCACCTGTCTGTCCTTAAGGAATAAATATGCCCGTCCTCTGGCCCTCCCAGATTGAGGCAGGACACAGAACAGGTGAATTTCCGTACGTTAGTATCCACGGAATTCATTTCCGGTCTCTGTGGCCTGGCTCAGCGCACCTGGCACTCCGCTCTTGCCAACTCTGCCTCTGTCCACCTCCAGCTCCTTTAAAACTGGCGCTGCTCCTTAAAATGCACAGCCTGCACAGCCCTTAAAACTGCTACCAAGTTTACCCAGGCAATTTTTTAAAAATATTTATTTATTTATGTATGTATGTATGTATGTATGTATGTATGTATGTATGTATGTATGTATACAATATCCTGTCTGTATGCCTGAAGGCCAGAAGAGGGCGCCAGATCTCATTACAGATGGTTGTGAGCCACCATGTGGTTGCTGGGAATTGAACTCAGGACCTTCGGAAGAGCAGGCAATGCTCTTAACCTCTGAGCCATCTCTCCAGCCCCCAGGCAATTTTTTTAGAAGAGTTTTTTTTTTAATTTTTTCTTTTCTTTTCTTTTTTTAAACACGGGTGCTCTCACTAGTCAGCTAGAAACCACAAAAAAAAAAAATTCAATCTCTTCCTTAGACTCTGAAAACAGGGGCCTGTTAGCAATGAAATCTCTTCCTTAGACTCTGAAAACACGGACCCATTAGCAATCCCATCACCACTCTGAAACCTGATCCATCTTCATGTCACAAAAGCTTCTTTTCTGTTAAATATGGTCAGCATGGCTAACCGACTAATCCCTGGGGAGTCCCACAAGGTGACTTCACCCTTCGTGAGGGTAGATCATTAATTTTTAATTACAAACACAAGAATTTCCTGATATTGTAGGGATAAAGACCTAGTGTTACCAGTTAAAGAAAGGGGATTGGTCTTCTGCCCAGAATCCTCTCCTAACCTGCGCAGCTGTTAGGACACCCACTCTGCCAGCTGACTTTGGTCAAGGTCACTAGCCCCCACCCTCTTTTTGCTTCAGTTGCTGTCTCGATATGTTGCTCAGGCTGGTCTCAAGAACTCCTGGACTCAAATAATCCTCCAGCCTCAACCCTCCACCCCCAGGTAGCAGAGACTACAGAGTTGTGTACCCCTGACTCCAACTGGAAATACATCACTTTGATTCAAAATGAAAATAATTCCCATGTGGTTTCCATAGAGATCTGGTTTCATTTCATCAAAATTACAGGAAACATATTACAGACTCTGTAATTGCTGCATGCTATAGCTGTTCAAAGGAACGCTGCCGAAGACCTGGGACCTTCCTGTGAGAGCTTTCATCACTGATGATGGCCTTCCTTCCCCCATCACACCCCCACTTCATCATCTCACACACAACACCATTCCTTTGCTCTATTCTTGGCATTACAGCTTAGGTAAAAACACAGGAAGAAGGCTTAGGACAGGGTGCTGATCAGCCCTATTCATGAAACCTACATTTCCCAGCTGCTGCCAGGAGAGCAGTTGCACAGAACTGGCACCTCCACAGAACTATGCAATGCTGGCATAGACCTACGTCAGCACACTCTCCCCAGCAGCACAGACTTCCCTCTCACAATGGCTGCTCTCTCTGAGATACAAGCCACTTTCACAGACTTGTGCCTCCCTGCAAGCGACAATGCTTCAATGAGCACTTATGAGAGAAAAAGCACAGCTTGCTCTGTTTCGGTTTCATGTTTGAATCATGCATTCCTAGGAAGGCACTCCTGAGGACCATGAAATCTACGTTTGGCTGAATTATGTGTATTCTAAATTATTATCTTCTGAATCAGTAGTATTTTACACAAATCTTGCTGGTATAAACATTTATTTATGCTACATAATAACTTTGAACACCAGTGTTCAATAAGTCGCGGGGAATGCACCACTAATAAAACCCATAGTCAGTGGTGAAAGCACAAATTCCCCTTCTGAGGTCTCACAATGTGTAGTGCAGAATGTAAGTCTTCAGGGCTGCGGTGTCAGACCACTGCTATTCGGGGAAAGCTGTAGATTATCTGCTCCTTGGAGTTTCAGGGCATTCACAGATGCACTTAAATAAAAACTCGAAGGAAATCTACAGGAAAGAAACCTGCTCAACACTGTTAAACACAACATGTCAAAAGTTTTTCTATGCAATTATTTATTTATTTATTTATTTATTTTTGAATTTTCGAGACAGGGTTTCTCCGTAGCTTTTTGGTTCCTGTCCTGGAACTAGCTCTGTAGACTAGGCTGGCCTTGAACTCACAGAGATCCACCTGCCTCTGCCTCCTGAGTGCTGGGATTAAAGGCATGCACCACCACCGCCCAGCTTCTATGCAATTTTTTTTAACATAATACCTACTACCGTTCATATTTGGACAAAACTGCCTTGCTGCAAAGTCTACCATAAAGTACCCTGGATGACTGACTGGCCAGAACATGGCTGAAAAGATCTGAGAGCCAAGGCATTTTCCTTATTTCCTGTTATTGCTTTGTAAAGGTTACCTCTACAGAAATCAACTTCAAATAGATAAGAGTAAATTTAAAGCCGGGTGGTGGTGGCGCCTTTAATCCCAGCACTCAGGGAGGCAGAGACTGGCGGATCTCTGTGAGTTCAAGGCCAGCCTAGTCTACAGAGCGAGTTCCAGGACAGGCTCCGAGACTACAGAAATACCGTCTCGAAAAACAACAACAACAAAAATCATAAATGTGATATAGTAAATTAGTTAATACATTTAAATATTAGACAACTGTCCAAAAAAATTAAAAGTCCTCAGACTAAATTTCATCAAATATATGTTACCAAATCACTTTGGTTGTTTTTGCTACCAATAAAGAATAAAATACTAAATATGGATTTAAATTTAAAACTAAAATTTCATTCACATAAAGATAAAGGTGATTAGTAGAAATAAAATCAGGTCAACTACTAAGAAAACATTAAGAAACAAATGGATCATTTCTTTGGACTGAAGGACATATGCTAAAAGTCACTGGCTAAAAGATTTTAATGAAATTTAACAAACCTTCCAAATTAAAATGTAAACATGTATTTTTGTTCTATTTTTAATTACAGAACAAAAGAAAACACAATGGCCTTGCATACTGGCACATGCCTTTAATCCTAGCACTTGGGAGGCAGACAAAGCTCTGTGAGTTCAAGGCCAGCCTGGTGATCCACATAGAGTTCCAAGACAATTAGGGCTATACATAGGGACCCTGTGTAAAAAGAAAAAAAAGGAAGGAAAGAGGGAGGGAGGGAGGGAAGGAGGAAGGGAGAGAAGAAAGGAAAGAAGGGAAGAAAGGAAGGAAGGAATAAAAGAGACTAAAGGACTTCAAGTTTTTTTGTTTTGTTTTAAACATCACTTAGCCTTCCTACAATTTTAGGATTCTCTATTTAGACTAAGCATTTTGATATTCATAGATCAAATAACCTTGTGGGCACTCATTTGGAACACCTTGCTCTATATTCCATCCTTCTGGTTATGCCCCCCCCACTCGAAAATCCTACTGCAAGGTGTCTTGTTCCCATGTGTCTATTCCAAGGCAATTTTAAAACTCAACAAACACTGCAATCTGATGTCAGTGCAGGCATCTGAGCCAATATTTTCCCATCACCAACCAGCCGGCTATTAGTTCTCTTTCTTATAAAGCTCCTCTCAGAGCTGAGAACCTGCCTACTCTAACCCCCTTTCTGATATCCTGTTTGTTCTATTCCATACC